GCTGAAGAAGCAGTGGTTAACATTTAAATGTCCCTTTCTGAATACTCTTATCATTCTACACTCATTCATCTCTCTGATTCCAACCTCATTCAGCCACAGTCTATGCTACTGCCAAGAGCCAGTAACCATGGATCCTAATAATCATCACAATGAGGGGCATGTAAAACTCTTCCAAAGACTTTATTTTGTATTTGCTTAGTACTCACCACAGCAGCATGAAGTAGGCACCATTATTATCCCCATTTTACAGCTACTGAGACACAGAGAAGACAAAGTAACAAAAGTATCACCATCACACAGCCCAAGGTCACTCCAACAGCTGGCTAGTGGGGCCTAGATTCCAGCCAACCAGTCAGACTCTATTACTCACGTTAACTGCCTGCCTTGCACTGATAATTTATCATTTTTTTCAGTATCAGAAACATGAGCCCACCCTCTCCTTACACACAAAGATCAAATATTTGTCTTTACTGTCAATACTGACCTAGATTACTGTACTTGTAACATTTCTTACAGGCTGAGGGTGTGGTTCAGTGGTACAGCACTAGTCTGGCATACATGGAACTGGGTCCAATCTCCACCACTGGAGAAAACGAAATTGTGTGGCACTAATTCAGTGTCCATTTCCACATATTAGCTAACTGTGTGGACCACACACAATAAGCATTTTTAAGTATTATAAGAATTAGAGCTTTCTTTCCAGCAGGGCATGGTGGCATGCACCTGTAATCTCAGGCTGAGGCAGGAGGACTGCAAGCTCCAGCCCAGCCTGGGCAAGTTACTGAGCAACTTCCTGAGATCCTGTCCCAAAATTTAAAAAAATATAAGGACTGGGGATGTAGTTGAGTGCAAAGGCCCTGGATACAATCCCGGTACCACAATATAATAAATCAATGGGGATTTATTTCAGTTATAGAGCACTTGCTAGCATGCTTGAGAGCCTGGGTTCAATCCCTAGTACCACAAAAAACAAATAAGAAAAAAATGTTCCTATGTCAGTTCCAACTATCATTCCAAGAATGTATATATATTTTTATACACACAAGAGAGAAATGTTCATGATCATTTTATAATCAATATTTATTAAGCACTTAATACAACCCAAGATCAACTCTTTTTTTTTGGTCTTTTTGAGACAGGGTCTTGCTATGCAGTTCAGGCTGACCTTGAGCTCACTTTGTAGCCCAGGCTGGTCTCAAACTCGCAATGACCCTCCTGCCTCAGCCTCCTGAGTGCTGGGATTTATAGGCGTGTACTACTATGCCTGGTTCCCAGGAACAACTCTTGAAGCCAGGAACAAAACAAAACAAAACAAAACAAAAAGCTTAGCACAAGCCTGCAGTCCTTGCTACTTGGGAGGCTAAGATAGAACAGAAGGATCACTTAACCAGGAGTTCAAGACCAGCCTGGGCAACACTGAGAAAACTCAATTTAAAAAAAAGAAGAAAAGAAAAACAAACAAACAAACAAAAACTGACCTTTTGGAGCTGGGGATTTATTAACTCATTGTGAGTTCAGCGGCACAGTGCCTGCCTGGCAAGCGCGAGGTCATGAGTTCGATTCCCGGTAACCAGGGTAAAAAAAAAAAAAAGAAAAAGAAAAACAAATACCCTCACCCTTGGAAGTTTACAGTCTGGTATATGCTCTTGCTAGCGTTCTCTCTAAATGTAACAAAGCAATCTTTGTTAATATGATTTCAAAATCCTAATTTGTTGACCATGTCTACAAATCCTTTTTTTGTACACAGAATTATTTAAACTGCAGTCTCAAGAGAAACCTATGTTTAATAAACTTTGTAAAGTGCCTTGTTTAGAATTTATGTGTATCAAACGTTCTTCATTTCACTGTATGTGTTCACAGGCCATATCTTTTATTACCACATTTATAAGTATAAAATACATTACAGATAAACTTTATTTAGTACAGTGACTCTAAATCAAAACTGAGGCTTTATTTCACAGAAAATAATTTTTGACAGATGTAGTAAAATGATACTAAAACATAGATAGAACTTTCTAATCTCTTTTATATTTACTTCCAAACCAGGAATGGTGTCAAATGCCTATAATCTCAGCACTCCAGGAGGCTAGGGAGGAGGATGATAAGTCAACCTCAGTCTAGGTAACTTAGCAAGTTAGAGATCCTGTCTCAAAATTTAAAACAAGAATTTAAAAAGGGGGCTAGGGCCAGGCATGGTGACATATGCCTGGAACCCCAGCATTCAGGAGGCTGAGGCAGGAGGATCACTGTGAGTTTGAGGCCCGCCTGGGGTACACAGTGAACTGAAGCCCCAACTGAACTACACAGTGAGACCCTATACATGAAAGCCCTGCGTTTAACCCTCAATACCATAAAAATAATTAATTAATTACTCCTACAAAGCACTATTAAAGGAAAGGGACATACTACACCTTTAAATCAGAGATTTAAGCCCTGATTCTGTCATTAACTGTGTAATGCTGGTTAAAGTATTTAACTACTTGAGACCCAGTTTCCTTACCTTAAAATAGAGGTAAAATTGACTTCATCGAGTTCTTATGAAAATTAAGTAATACATTAAAAGCCTGGCTCAATTCCTGGAAAACACAGTGGGCATTCAGGAACGTTAATTTCCTCCCTCTTCCCCAGGGCTGCTAACTGTTGTTGGGTTTGTCAGGAGCCTTTCTGCTTGGAATCATCTTCACCAGAGTCGACTCAGCTTGGAGGCCAGCCTTCTGGTGAAGGCTTTTCTTTCTTTCTTTTTTTTTTGGAAAAAAGGTCTCACTTTGTAGTGCAGGTTGGCCTCAAACTCATGCTGATCGTTCGCCTCAGCCTTCCAAGTGCTGGGATTACAGGCATGCACCACCACACCCTCCTATGTGAAGCTCCCTCCACATTCCTAGGACTCTGGGTTTGCACCCACACTTTATTTCAGTTTCTTAAAATCATCTGTCACTTTCTGTCTCTCCCATTAAACTATAAGCCCCTGAGAGCAGAGATCATATCTCAATAATCCCAGCTCAGAAAAACAGCTGGCACATTTCAGGGCTAGAACAAAAGTTTGCTGAATGAGTAAATGAAGTTATTAAAAGTACTGGTAATTACTATTGGGTGACCCAAACTTTATGGTTCTGCCCTTAATGGGTTGAGATCCTTTTTTATACTTTTCTGAATCCCTCTCTCATAGCATCTGGCAGTTTACTAAGAACATGGAAAGTCTGCAATAAATACTTTTGGATGATGGGATCCACATTACACTCTCGTCTCTATGATTTAACTCTAAATAAAAAATCCCAGTGGATGTGTCTTTGGGAAGCTTTTTTGGTCTTGTTTTGGTTTTCTTTCTGTTTTCGGCAGTAATAGGGTTGAACTCAGAGTGCAGAACTACACCACCAGCCCCACTTTGAGAGGGGCGTCTCCTAACTGCTAGCCATGAACTTGCAATCCTCCTGCCTCAGCCTTGTGAGTAGCCAGAGTTATAAGCATGGGAAGTCTTTTAAATGGGAACTCTTGGACTGGGGATTTAGCTCAGCGGCAAAGCGCCTGCCTGGCAAGCGCAAGGTCATGAGTTCAATTCCTAGGACCAAAAAAAAAAAAAAAAGTAACTCATTTCACTAAGAAAATGGCTATTAGAAAGGCCTTTGATTTGCTACTAAAAATGCAAACGTAAGGCAAACCTTTAATAACTTTCAGCCAAGGGGGCTGGGGATTTAGCTCAGTGGCACAGCACCTGCCTGGCAAGCGCAAGGTCGTGAGTTCGATTCCTGGTACCGGAAAAAAACCAAAACCAAAATAAATAAATAAATTTCAGCCAAACATTCCCCACCCTGCAGTCCTGGGCGAGCTGGCTGTACCCTCTCACCCCTGGGAGGTGGCTGCTTGTAACAGTAAAACTCCATCAGTAAAATTGGGGGTGGGGGTGTTCCCCTAAACTAAAACACTCAGGTTTAACTTATTGAAAATCAACCTTAAGTTACAGCTTTGGCTTCATTTAGAAAAGATCTTGAAAAATCTCAAAAACTGGTAACTCGGGGACGTTCTGGACATCCTACAGATTTAAAGCCAAGTAAAAACACATGAAGCGCAGGTGCAATTTCGCTGCTATATCGAAGGTGGACGTATTTCACACTGCTGGATACACACGCGCCATGCCACGGAGAGGCGGCAGGCAGTAAACCGTCCACCAAACCGCCCTTTGGTTTCACCACGTAAGAGAGAGCCTGGCAAAGCCGAGCTGGCCTTAGCGCTTAAATGCACACTCGTCCACCAGTCTTTCCGAAACTGACAAGAGCAAACCTGGCCTGGGCCCTTACCGTGTGCCGAAGACTGTGTCCACCGTTTTACGTGAACTCTCACCTTCCACACTTACCAACCCGCCTTGGGGCGGGCTCTGTTATTACCCCAGCTCTGCACACGAGAAGCTGCAGCGGAAGATTACACAGGCAGCAGACGGCAGAGTAGGGAGTCATCTGGAAAGCTCCAGGGCTCCAGATCGCGGTGCTTTCTTACGGCTACAGAGACCGGGGCGGCGTAATCACAGCGTCCTGACACTTCAGAGACCCACACACACTTTCTTGGCTGTCAAGTTTGCAATCGACGCCGGGCGCTTGCAGAGCGGGCGGCATGCGGCTGCCGCGCAGGTCCCACTGCAGGTGCGCCTCCCGGCCCGGGCAGACTCAGGATCGCCTTCGGATCCTGGGCGTTTGCTCGGATGCCGGAAAAGCGCCGCAATGGAAGAGCACCCGGGGCGCAGCGAGGGCGGGACGCCGCGCGTCCCCCACCCGGCGCAGCGCGACCCGGCCCGGGG